TCTCGCACGCAGACACCTGCAACAAGGATTGCCGCCATCCTTCTTCCTCTCTCCCACAGAACGTCTCTCTTCCGCATAACTTCTCTCTTGCTGAGCTTTCTTTTTTCTGCAGATGCTCTTCCTCTCTCTCGCGGCTTCATTTTACCGGGTAATCAAATTAGGCGCAATTTTTAAGATGTTATAAGTAATTAATAGATTGTTTCACTATAGCTACAATAAGTTTATTGTAGCTACAATAATTTCACTGCAGCTACCGTAATTTCACTATTTTTGCTCGATTTTTTTTTTTAAATTTGATATGTTAAGTTAGTTATTAACTTCTAATTACTTGAATTTACTTTAGCTACACTATTTTTACCTAATTTTTTTTATACTTTGGTGCTTATGCCCGATGTTTTGAGGCTTGCGTCTCGCCTCGTAATAGCTAAAACGCCCTGCCTAACGCTCACACATTTTAAAACATTGAAGATGATTAAAAAAGCCAAGGAAATGGTCGAGATATAAGATTGATGGGCTTTATAATACCACAAGTAAAAGATTAACAAGAGTTGCAATTAATTTAAACAAAGATACAAACAATTCACATTGAAGATTAGGCCATATGAAAAAAGAGTCCTACCAATACTCAACTTTGAACTCCAACGTTAAATTCTCAATCTTGAACTCAACTGAATCTAAATTTTATAATTGCTGTATTCTTAAGAAACAAACAAATAAGAGTTGGCCTCTAAAATGCTAGAAGAGAGCTCATAACAAAAAATTGAAATTAGTTCACATTAATTCATGGGGATCGTTCCCCATCAAATCTTTAGGAGGCTAGCTATAATACCTCTCTTTCACTAAAAATTGTACCCATAAGGTGTAAACAATGGAAACTTATTCTTCTATGCTAAGATAAAACATAAATGCTCTAGAATTTGAGCAAGGGATAAAAATAAAGCACTATACCAATATTACATTTTAAGGGGAGAGAAAAAAACACAACACAAAATTAAATATGAGTTTTACAATGCTTTGGTCAAAAGGTCTACATTCACTTTTTAGTTACCCGAGGAGAAAAATCACTTAAAAGGAGAGGTCAGCACAAATGGTGATTTCTCAGGCAAAAGCACATGAGAAAATAAAAAACATTGCGGAGATATAAAAAAAACGTAGAGAGAATTTATATCAGGTAGAATGAAAAAGGGTAAAAGAGGTCCAAGAGCCTTAAGTGAACGTTTACGACAATCACCATGCTTATATGCCTTCATAAATGAATGCTACCATGTATATATATTTAGTTGTATAACCCCTAAAATAAGATAGATATTGGAAGTTAATATAGATCTTGGTACTTTAAAGTTAGAACCAAACATAAAGGCTAATTGAAGATGATAAGAGATTGGAAGTTACTATTACTTGGGATATTAACAACAATTATATGATGAGTCAGAGTACGACAAAACACTAAGGGGTTGTATGGCAACGAATGAGATTTAAGTAGGATTTTGTAAATCTTGTAAATCTGAATTTAGTAAATCATAGAAAGCTTAAATCCCAAAAATTATTTAGCAACAGATTTAGTAAATCTTACCAAACTGTTTGATAACTTCTATCAGGATTTAAAAGGTTATTATGTTTGTTAAAAATAAAAGTTATAATTAAATCATGATTAATATGTAAATATTAAATATAACTAAATTCAATTTAAATTATATTTTAATAATTATGGTTAATAATTAATTATTAATAAAATTGCATTAAAATAATTACTTTTTATAAAATAATTTAAAACTAAGAAATTATATTAATTAAGAATTAATTTGAATTTTATTAAATAATTTATTTTTTTTTAAATACAACTCTCTCAGCCTATACTCCCTATCGCCTAGTTTCGTTTAAATGTCATTCTCTTATCTATCCAAAACCCTAACTTAAGTTCCTTCCCCTCAATTTCGCCCAAAACCATCGCCTTCGTGATTGAACCCTTGTGATACTGTCAAATTAGAGCTAGCTGGGAAGATGACGATGGGATCGCGACATACAAAGACCCAAAACTCACATATTTCCCCTCTCGAAGATTCGATCCTACCTGAAACCTTAAAGGAAAGTAACTCATATCTTCATTTTCACAGGAAGCACCCATCCCAACGTTAAATCTGCAGCGCCAATTTAAATCCACAAATTCAGAAAATTTAGTAAATCCCATATTTCCATATAAAATCCGCAAAAATTCAGATTTATCGTAGCTGCAATTTATTATGTTCTTAAAGACTGTATGATAAGATTGAGCTTAAATCCAGGTTAAATAACAGTGTAAATTCATTGTGATACATGCTTGAACTCATATCACAAAAATACTAGCAAAATTGATACCCCGGGTTAAACAACAGAGCCATTACGACAATTTTTTTGATGAAATGCATAATAGTTCATAGGGTGTAGAAATTTCCTTAAATGTTTCCAAAATCCAAATTTATTATGTATAATTATTATTGATATATTGCTCTTTAAATGATCCCAAGCGAGATGACTGATGCATGTTGGAGAAGATACATAATCCTGAGCGGAAACAAATTTGCTCTAAGAAAGGTCATCCAAAATAAGCACTTTATGGACGAGCAGCCAAAAAACACAAACAAAAAGAATTCTCAAAAGAGGTTCCCAAGAAAATTTCTCAAGGGCATGATTGAGATACAATAATCAAATCAATCATAATAAAGATAGCTACTTTTAAGCTGCATAACACATTATGTTTGAAGCATCGTTGAGTACCAAGATATAAGTTTATTTTATAAAAAATAAATCAAATGTGTATTACTTTTATAAGATGAAAAATTTTGAATGAAAGTGAGATTTGTGCTAAGGCAAATGCATGTGATCTAACAAAAGCAAAGGGAATGATAAAATAAACTTAAAAAATTATTACACTGCAAATGGGTTTCATATAAAGAGTATGACACAATACACTCTTCAATAAACAAAACACTAGAAAATTGAATATGATTATCAATGAAGGCATAAGAGAATGAGTATAAAAGTAGAACTGCCAAAGACAATGAGTCGATACAAAAAAAATTAGTAGCACACCTCATCACAAAATGACAATTTGTAGCTCTTAATTATGGACTCTTCTTAAATAAATAGAAATAAAGAAGCTATTTTTCACATTTTAAAAATTTTAATATTTTTCTTATCTGCATATTAATCTGAATGGAAAATACAAGTTTGGATCAAAATAAAAAAAGTCTTTATTTTGATTAAATAGTTACTTGATAATTTTAACTACAAAGTTTAAGATGTTGAAAAAATAATTAGAAAAAAAGCTAGAATCAGAAATGTTATTTTTAATGAAATGAAAAAGTGGTCAAATAACAATAAAAATGAAATTTTTGATACATATTGACGTAGATAAATAAAAGCCTTACATATTGATAAGAGGTGAGAGATACTGGCGAATAATCATGATAAACTTGAGCCAACACTTTCGTGATAGTAGTCCAAGGATTCCGCAAAAGTTCAAGCCTACTAATTGCTATTCTCCTCTGTTTTTGTTATTACTAATATCAGATGAGGTGGAATGTTAAAATAAAAGTTGTCCAGGGATTCTGCAAAAGTTCAGGCCTACTTGCTACTCTCCTCTATGTTATTTGTTATTTACAAATATCAGGTTAGGTTGAATGTAAAAGTAAGAGTTGTGCATGTTAAAGATTCATAAAGCTAGCAATGAAAATAAAGTTGATACTCTCTATAAAAACACAAGAAGAGATTGGTTGAGATATCCAAACACAAGAAATCTCAACAAAACAAATGCTTCAATAAAGTGAACAAGGAGCAAAATGGTTGACACAAGTTATTAATTATTAACACTATACATCAAAATTAAAGAAAATATAAAATCAAAATTAATGTCAAAATATACAGTCAAAATGACAAGATGCGAACTTCATTGTAGTATTGTAGCTACAATAAAATCACAATGCTCACATTAATTCCATTATAAAACCTGCGTGCTTATGTTTCTATTTTTGTAAAAATAGAAGCTATCAGCCTCGCAGAAGAGGTTTGGATAGTGTGAAAGCTGCGAAACTGGGGCCTTGCAGCAGAGGGAGAGACATCTAGATTGTGCGATGGTGGCAGGTGAGGAGCTGCGAGCTGAGTGTGGGTCTTGTGCACGTGACCTAGAAGATGAACGGAAGGGAGGAGGTGGATGGATCGCACGGCACTTTCTGCGATTGTTTGTTCTACCTGTGGAAGACTGCAAGAGAGATGCTGCGGAAGACTACAAGAGACAAAGTTGTGATTCGGGTTGGTCTAAGAAGCGACACGATTAGAGCTTTTATTTTCTTTTAAATTATCCCATTAGTGAAGAAGACTACTCACTTTTAAAATTGCACATTTATAAATAATAGTAAGCTACATTATGAATTAAACCAGACTTCTCTCAAGAAACCAGTAATTTAGAGTTAGGCCCGAATCATCAAATCTGATTTCCAGCAAAAAAAAAAGAAAAATTTAAATGTTCAAAAGTCTAATATAAGTGTCTTTCTGTTCAACGTTTACAACTCTTTAGAAATAAGCTAGGAATAATGGCTACCTAGCAAAAGTAGACCAACTCTCAATCTAAATAATTGTCTTCCTCTTTTAATTGAGAACATCCATTCATCTTTACCAAGCTTTTTGGGTCAATAACTTGAACAAAATAAGGGCCAAAGTCAAAAATTATATTCTTATCCTATACTGTCCTAAACTTAGAGAAAATCCAAGCATGTGCAACATGTATGATAATTAAATACTCCCTAGTTCAGCCTGCAGCTTAAATCTAGCAGTGGGTGCCAAATAAGCATTGTAACCTAGATATTCTGGAACAAGTTACATTTGGTGCAACTTCTCAATAAAGGTTCTTTGGTTACCTTGATTATAAAAGAGGAATTATAACCCTGAGAATACATCAGTTCTGAAATGTAGAAATTAACTAATACAAAAGAAACCAGGAAAGCTGACAGTATTGCACAACTCACGTGCCAAATTGTAGACGGCTTTGGGTGTACAAAGCTTCATAGAACTCCTCTTCTTTTTTGTCAAGAGAATCACGTCTTAAGGTAACCTGGAAAAGAGAAACAAAGATAATAATTCACGTTCTTGTTTCCACTCATTTTTATAATATGAAGAAATAGAAAGCACTTACTATCCTTGGCGGAAGCGCAAGATCAGAAGCTCTGCCCAGCTTTGTACGCCTCAGCAATATGCTGCTTAATACTTTTTTCTTCAGAAGAATCATTGCTCGTTGGGGTTTGTCTCGATCATACATGAATTCTTTAATTGGTTTTGATATGTACTAAAGAAAAACACATTAGTTAAACTAAAACAGCCACGTGATCCAAATGTTATTACTAAGATGACAGAAAAAAGAAAGAATTGCAATCTGTCTCACTCTGTTCCACCAGCAAAAGTGCCTCACTCTAGAATGTGGACAATTCGGACAGTCTTTTGTAGAACTGAGAAAACAGAAAGATGGAAATTGTTTTGATAGAACGAAGCAAACTGGTTTTCATTTGTCTGGATGGGACAACGGTAAAACTGAAAGCTATCGATATCACAATAAGTTTGATTCAAAATAAACTATATTAACAATTTGTAATTATAATTCCTAGGCATATTTGATTGCAGATTGTAAAGTACAGAAGCCCTATTTCATAAAATCACAGTGAAAGTATATAACTAAATCTCTACAGCAGCATAAAAGTCTCAATTGAAAGTGACTTCAAAAAAAATAAAATATGCTTGAATGCAAAATCATGTGCTAAGAGAGCTCTTTTTAATTAGCACTTACCCATAATCCAGAATTTTACAATTACAATCTCTGCACCGGTAGAATGAATATGGATCAATTTGGATGAATCGAACCTACACAGAGCGAACAACACCCTCAGTCAATATAGAGAAACACCGGATGGCAAACTAATAACACCAGGGATATGCATAAACAGACCAAAGAGTATAGTTCTCCAACACGATTTTGCAAAGGAGTGCCGCTTAAAGCCCACTTGTACAAAGAATGCAATGCAAAGACAGCCCTTGCAGTGTTGCAACTTCTATCTTTTATGAAATGAGCCTGTAAAAGTATTCCATCACCTTTGTGATAAAACATTTTTTATTACTCAAGAGAAGACGAAAGTGTAAAAATAATCCCTGGTTATTAAAGAGTGCTGAATTAGTCTTCAATTTTATTTCAATTAGGTTGAAATACTCCTACCTAAAAGTAGTAGTGAATTGTTTTAGCTCATATAAATATAATTTGGGAAGTAATTTGACAGTTTTATAGATTCTGGGACTAAAATGACTCCAACCATTTAAACAATTTTATCTTATTAGTCATATGCTCCAGATAGTTGACAGAATTATCCATAAAAAAAAATTGAAGAAAGAAAAAACACATCATAGAAAGAAAAAAAGTGAAATAAGAAAAATAAAAATTACCTCATCCAAAATTATCCTCTCCCATTCGACTGAATGCAGAACCGATGCTCCACTAAGCTTTGCTTCCATGTTGTTAATGGGTTCTTCCCCCTTTTTATTTCGTCTTAGTTTCTTCTTTTGCCTCTCCTCAATAGCCTCATTATCTTCCTCAAAAGGTAGATTCTTCTTCTTCCAGTTGAAGTTTTTCAGTTTCTTCTTCTTAACTTGCTTGGCCTGCTTCGCTGTCTGTTGAGCATTCGGTCCGCAAAAATACGTCAAATGAATCTTCATCTTATTCGGATATAACTTTTTCCCGCAATAACGACAAATTTCCTTCGGAGGCATCATGTGCTTCCGATAGTCATTCTCAATCGTGGAGTAAGTAGTAATCACAAAGTCATAATCATTAAAATTATAGGCAGCAGCGGACCTCTTAGGCCCGTGAAAGACCAAAACCCTGACCCTCCCCTTTGCCGTGTGCGCGTCAATCTCGCCCACCCATTGAATCACAGCAACAACTGGGCAAATCACGAGAGTGCACTTCACCCTTGGCATTGGACCCCTCTCATATCCTCGGAACTGAGGCTCAGCCAAGCCATTGCAGGGTAGTGTGCCGCGTGACCGGGCGGTCAGAACGAGCGATATTGCCTGAATGGTCTTCCCCATCCCCATCTCGTCGGCAAGTATCCCCCCTCGAACATCGGATTCCTCTTGCTTTAGAGCCCAAGCAAGCCACTCTCTCTGGAAACGAAGGAGAGGGAGAATAACGTCCTCCGAAGGCTCCATTGTCTCCGCAAACAACGGAGGGTCATCAGAGTCATCGCCGCCATCCTTGGCCAGCACAGCAGTTACCCACTTCTCATTCTCATCTTCCCATTTCTCCCACTCCAGTTTTGTACCATCGTGGCTCTTCCTCCGCGATCTCCTAGCCCTTCTCGGCATAACAGGGAGACGGACATTAGGCTGAACGGGGAGCAAGGCCGGCCCTTCTTCTTCGTCATTTGATAGGAAAACATCTTCCGAGTCAGATGAGGGAACGTAGTCCTCGTCAGTGAATCCATTAGAGATTTTTTCATCGCTTGCCTTGCGACCCTTGCCGCCTGCAGGAAACACAATCAAAAGGTCAGGATTTCAGAAAAAGCGTTAGGTGCAGGGATCGAAGAATGGCAATCATGCTTTTAGGGTTTCGTCCTCGTCGGCGCGCCATTGGAGAATGATAGACAGCAGCGGGAGGGTTTTAAAGAGGTATATTAAGAGAGCAAGTAGCAGTTGCGGATAATAGAAACGGCGGGAACTTCTGATACCGATGGGACTGCGAAGCGGGACGGGATGGACTGGTGTCCGTCAAAACGCCTATACGATGGGTTTTACGCTTTGGATGCACGGACCTTAACTCGAAATCAATGGCTAATAACCGTGCCATGTTGTTATAGAGCAGTTACTGTTGTTCTTGGGATGAAATAGCAGGCGGGAGCATGCGCCACCTGTCTGGGAATCAAGCTGATGCTACTAACGGTGATGATTGGGCGTAAATTTGGGAATCGGTGAAGGTTAATAGATTTACGGGGAAATCAATGGTAGGGCTGTTAGAACGGTTACTTGTTCCCGAACAGCTCGTGTTCTGTTCAGAAGTTCATGTTTAGCTCATTAAAAAGCTCGTAAGTTAACGAGTCGAACACAAATTAAGATGTGTTCGTTCGTGTTCGGCTCATTTTGACACTAAATACTACTCATCAAATATATATATATATATATATTAAATAGTATTTTAAAAAAATCTAATTGACTAAAAGGCTACAGAGTTTTATAATCAATTAAAATATTAATTAAAAAAAATCGAATAAAAATTATTAAATTAAATTCAAATGATCTTTTAATATAAATAATAACTTTTAAATCTTGTTTAAACCCTTATTATCTTATGTCTACATGATTAGGACTGTTAAAAGGACTCTTTGTTTGTGAACAGCTCGTGGAGTTTTATAATCAATTAAAATATTAATTAAAAAAAATCGAATAAAAATTATTAAATTAAATTCAAATGATCTTTTAATATAAATAATAATTCTTAAATCTTATTAAAATTGTTATTGTTTTATGATTGTATGATTAGGATTGTTAAAAGTATTATTTGTTCTTGGACTTCTTAGACCCCTCGTGCTGTAACTCTTGGTTCCATCGTCTGGCACTCATAAACCTGCCCGCCGTGTTAGGCTTGTTTACACCCCTAATCAATGGTTTTGATTAGTCTGTCAAAAAAAATTGTTATTTGTGAATAGCTTGTGTTCGACTCGTCCGTTAATTAAACGAGTTGAACACGAATAAATTTGTAAAGCTCAAATTATAAACAAGCCGAACACAAACAACTTTTTATTCGTTCGTGTTCGGCTCGTTTTAACTTGAAATAACAACATTATATAATTATTTATATAAAAATATATTATATATATTTATATCTAAATTTAAATTGTAACATCTTGTGTGACAATGTGGTTAATGTTTTTTTTTCAGATATTTGATCCAGGTTCGAATGCAACACTTTACATCTATTTTTTTAAATTTAATTTTAACGAGCCAATTTCAAGCCGAACACAAACACGAATATTTAAATCGAGTCGAACCGAGCCGAACACGAGCCTAGCATGAGCTCGCTCAAGTTCGGCTCGTTTAGAGCCCCAGTCTCCATTTTTTGGATGAAGGTGTAAACGAGCAGCGAGCCAAGTGTTTCTTGAAATTTAGCTCATATGTAGCTCATGTACGTTTCATACAATGGATAGCTGTGGGAAAATAGAATTTTAGCAGGCTCCGCCCGAAATAATAAAACCTAACCCGCCCATGTCAGCTCTACGAATGAGTTATTTTGGAAGAGTGGAGCACAAGTGATAGTGCTGCATTAATGCATACCATCTAGGCTCAAGTCGTTGATTTACCATTATTATGTGACATTGTTATATTGCATCATTTGAATCCAAGGCACATAAAACACGCACAAATGTAGTCACACACAAACAAACAACAAACGAACTAGATCACAACTACGAAATTGCAAATATTCATGCACTTCAGAGCTTGATTAAATTCATAAAATCACATAAAAAGAAAAAGGAAAATAAATTATTTTCATTTTAAGGTCAGTGGGCCGGCCAGATCTATATAGTGGCCAGGCTTGACTATGCGAATCAGGCTCCAGACCGGCCCGAGCCCGTTTTGACTGGTTAAAGTAGCCTGCGCCAAGCCCGACCCGACCAACGCTGAGGTCTCGTTCGGGATAAGCTAATGTTTAAAGAAAAAAATGATTTCATTTTAAGGTCTGTGGGCCGGCCAGATCTATGTAGTGGGCGGGCTTGACTATGCTTTTTCAAATAGAAATCAGGCTCCGGCTCGGCCCGAGCCCATTTTGACTGGTTAAAGTAGCCTGCGCCAAGCCCGACCCGACCAACGCTGAGGTCTCGTTCGGGATAAGCTAATGTTTAAAATGACTTGTAAATAATTCAGTTCGTGTTCGACTTACTTTAATTTCAAATTCGTTCTTGTTAGTTCGTTTGGCTCGATTGTTTAGCTATATAAATTTACATATTTTATCATTTAACTCACAAAATATTTTTATTTTTTAATATTTTTTATGAAAATAGAAAAACAACATAATTCCCTTCGGCATTTTATGAAGTATAAAAATTTGGTTTTAGAAATCACTTTTACATTTAAATAGGTTTTCCAATTATGATTTTTTAAAATATAAACAATATGAGACTATGGGTCCGTTTGGGGCAGCTTGTTTGGTGTAGTGGCGTTTTCAAAACCCATCTGGTCTATTTGGGTAAACTACGTTTTGGCAGCTTATGAGTTTTCAAAAAGCCGAAAACAACGTTTTCACATCGCACCTATCTAGGTGCGGTGGCACCTATTTAGGTGCGATGAGAACTTTCTGGCAGAGATTTGACTTTTAAAAAATATAAAAATTTATAATAGTCATCGCAACTAATTATGAGCAGTTTATTTATATATAAAAGAAGAGTCAAAAGGTGATTGGGCGTAATTCTTATGGCCAAGAGGTCATTCGGATACATATAACCAATTCTAATTTATTTACACATGCAGAAAAGAACGGGTCAGCGGGATCTTTCTTTTGGGAAAAATCATATGGTATTTACATGCATACCACCATATTTTAAGGACATTTACATACATACCACCCAAATGCTATTTATTTACATATCTAACACCTAAACTTACTTTCTTTATAATTTTACCACTCAAAATGATTTAAAAAAAAAGATTAATATATATAGAAATTTAAAATAAAATGTATATTACTAAATAGGGGCTTTTACATAAATAGGGGTTTTTACATAGATAGATATATATATGTATATATATATAGTCAAATAGAAATTTCATTGATAGGAAGCCGATACAAGGTTTTAGTCAGCGGGTGCTAGGAACTCACTCACAATGTATACAAGACTTAAAAAAAGGTATCCAAAATGTACAAGTATACCCAAAAAATTAGACATAATGAAATCATAGAACATTGTCGAGCAAGAGTAGAGGAGATCAATTATGAAGGGAGGTGTTTTCTTTCCCCCTCTCCCCGGTTCTAGGAATGGATTCCAGTAACAAACTGCGAAGGGGACTTCCACAAGAGACAATCAAATAGTCATCCTGAAGATTTTATAGTTGAAGCTTTTCTTTTTTCTTCCTCTTGTATTTTTGAACCTGCCACTCATCTTCCACTTAGTGTTTCAACTAATCGTTTTTCTCACCTTGATCCTGACATTCCTTCAAAGTATGAGTACCTTCCCTAACAACAACTAAATGAGAGGGAGTTTCAGGAGATTTACTTAGAGGAAGATTCTCATCAGGTCCATTGTGAACAATATCTAGCTGTGTAGGACTGTTTTCATTATTAGGAATGGGGATAGCAAGCATCTCATATGTCTGTTTAACATTAGTAATGGCAGGTTCTAGTAAAGTTACAGGATCTAAAGATGTCTCTTGGGTAGCATTGTCAAAAATGCCATGTTCAGAAATAGATGGTTTCTGTGTATGTTGTTCAGTCATAGACTTATCTATATCCAATTGTATTGGAATAAAGGGTTTCAACTTTGGGTGTAATTTGAAGCATTTATCATATGTGTGGCCAAACATCTTACAATGATTGTAGTAGTGTCTTTGTTCCATAATGATTTGTTTTCAATAACCATTGTGAACAGTGTCAAGCCAGATTTCTTCAACATTAGGAAGTGTAATATCCATCTCTATTAAAATCCTTGCAATAAAAGACCTTGATTGATTAAATGTAGAAATGTCTAACTGCATTGGTTTTCTGAGAATAACACCAATAACATATAGTACTTGATGGTTAAAGAAGTGAAGCTTGAGTCAATGTAATTTAAATCATATGGGCACAATGGGTGGTTCTTGACTTGAATCAAAGTTAGGGGGTCATTTAAGCAATTTCATATGTTTGCCCTCAATTAAAATAAATTTATTTGAGAATATCCTTGCAGAATCTTCTTTTTGCTTAACTGCATCATAACATGCCTTCCATCAAATAGTCCAACCTTCCACTCCCTAATTAGTTTAAAATCTTCAAAAGCTTTCCTGATAGTCTCCATCTTAGGGTGGTCCGATTGGAACTTTCCAATCAATGTAAATTTATGCTTTTCTGCAAGGGTTAAAATTTCAGTGTTAAAAAAAATTAATACTGGTTTGCCCCCACTTTTTTCCTATTCTTTTGTTTAAGAAGTTACAATCTCCCTGTCCCACAAATGAATCATGATACATCTGTGGGAAAACCAAACTATCCCCAAGTTGTGAAGGAGTACTGTCTTTATCAACCACTGGAGAAGTGGAAGGGTTGAACTATCATTGTGGTGGAACCCTAGATCGCCTACCCCGACGCCAGAGCGCTTCCGCATCGCAGATAATGTTAATACACACACACACACACACACACACACACACTCAATCTGATGTAGTGCGTGTACCGTGGCTTGTTGGTAGAGCAACCTCTCTGAAGATCATAAGTCCCCTCAGGTTATGGGTTCGAATCACCTGTGCGTAGGGTGTGGTACTCCAATATTTAACACACTTAGCGATGGTCAAGTCTTGTCTAACAGCCTTCGACCAATTTTTTTTAAGATATATTCATTCCAATGTTGTGTGTGAATCACGTCTAAGAAATAGAACATAAATAAGAGGAGAATGAGAGAGAGATACATATGAACAATAATGAATAGTATTTGATTATGTTCCTTCTTCATAAAATCTCTCTTATTTATAAATGAAATAGTACAATAGTGATATTATATTTTTAGCCCCATTTGAAAGGGGTACATACTAGGGTATTTCTGGAATTTTATGAGCGTGGCTTATCATTTGGCTCCCT